CTGAAATAGCACTTGCCTAGAAAACCTCTCCGTGGCACAGTTTGGGGTTTTAACTTTATTTTCAGAGGGTCCTTGTACCTCATCGTGTGAATGTGGGGTTTTTGGCCAATTAGCCTGTAAGTCAGGGTGGCTGAGCTCTCTGGTCAGTAGTCGCCTGTATCCTGGCAACTGTAAGAGCAGCAGCTTGCCCACCGGGATGTGGGGGAACAATAAACCTCATTTTGCTCGTGGCTTCTTTGAGTGCGTAAAAGGAGAGACTTGGGATTAGTTTAAAAGGCACTTTAAAGTCCAGCTGCTGTGCTCCCAACACTTTAGTGTTTTAAGATTCTTTCACTGGCTTTACTGGCACTCCAGTTGGGGATGATGAAGCCACCGTGCCCTCTGGTGTAACTGAAGTGGCTGTGGTACTAAAACACAGGTGTGGAATGACGCTGCTGCTCTAGATACCCGTTGTCTTTGTTCACAGGTGACACTTTTAACAACTTTTGTCCTCAAAGCATGCTCTTCCACGCAGCTGAGGCTACTCACTTGCATGGTCCTGGCTTTTCTGCTCTCTGCTTTATGGCAGTGTGGCTGCAAGTGCTCTGAGCCCATTAAAATCACCTGAGGAGCACATAGGAGTAGAAGCTGGCAAAGTAGTCATGAGCTTGTGTGAAGGGAGTCAGTGAAAACTAAGAGGTATGGCCAGGAACTCAGGTTACATCTTGGCAAGATGACCCAACAAGCTTGCTGATGTGGCTTTGGGAAACACCAGAGCTGTACTTGGAGGTAGTCAGTGGGTGCCTTTGTGGTTGTAATGACTTTCAGAGTTAAACTCAAATTTGCCTTGCAAGATGGTGAGTTCTGTAGTGAAGACGGCCTGCAAAGCGTTAGGTCACGAGCACTGCGCAGAAATGGGTTGAAAGAGGTCTTTTTGGAGATTTTTTTGCCTTTCCTGAAGCCTCTCAGCTTTCTAGACTCCCTGCAATGAGACTCTGGACGCTGCTGTGAAGGCGTTTTGAGGGAGACTCATTCTCAGTGAAGAGTGCTCATTTGTGGTGGTGAGGACAGCCGAGTTCTTGAAAGTGAAACAAAGAGGAAAAGCTGTAGTTAAAGATTAATTTGTAGTATTAAATTGCCGCTTCCTGCCAGGGTTGTGTCTGCAGGATGAGGGTGGGAGGTGGGAAGGGTGGGGTGAGATGGAACAGAAAACATCTGTATCCTTGAATGGGTGTTCAACCAGGAATAAGACTTAGGGGGTTATGGCATTATTCCTTCTAATTACCTGTAACAGATACAGGCACAGATGTCTGCTTGTCCTTTCAGAAGAGCCTTGCCTATAATGTAACACATTCTCACTTCCTTATCACAGCTTCAGATCAGCCTGTGTTCCCAAATCCTCTTTCCTGGGCATGTCAGAACTCTGAGGTCAGTGGGATAGCTAGTTAAATTTTTTTTATAAATAAAAAGACCTGCCTCCTTCAATTTTCCTGTTAAGGTTATAGGATTAGAAGCTGCTGGTGCGAGGGTTTGAAGGAGGGGTGTGTTTCTGAGAGCTTCCTTAGAACTTTAGGGCTGTGGGACAGCCTAGTGAATTAATGCATGTGCTTTTTTTTATTGGAGTGAAGGAGCTGAAGAGGGATGGAGGAGATATTAGTGCTAGCATTTGGAAGCTAAGTTCTCAAAACACCTGCCCACCTAGCACTGGGATGTGTTCCTTCTGTGTTCCTCCCCCCTTCTGGTGTTGAAATGAGTGAAATGTCAATATTGACTCTGTTGTGACTAGATGGTGTCAGGTTCAGCATTTCCTACCCCTTTTGCAACGTGCATGTAGCAGACTGACTGCTACAAACACACTGGTGGGGTTGGGAATTAATCTTGATCAGTGCCCTGGAGTGTCTGGATCTTGTCCTAGATATCTTCTTCAGGGGGAGATGAGGAAATGAAGTGCTTTTGGAGGTAAATCTGGAATTTTGGGGTTTTTGCTTGCTTCAGCAGTATTAGAGGATACCTGCATGGGGATTTTCAGTCTTGTGTGCTGGTGTTCAGTAGATGACAATCGAGTGACAGCTTCTGGGTTGCTGGAATCATCTCAGATCGTTTGTTCTAACCTTCCTAAAGAGCAATCTGCGATGCACAGTGGCATTATGTCTTCTGGATTCTGTTTACTTACACAAACAGTGTGTAATCAGAGTGACAATCATGTTCCTCTTCAAAAATTTCTTGGGTGGTAGAACAAAGAAGGGGGATTTGAAGCTGCTCCGAGTACCTGTTTACAGTAAACTCGCAGCTGACATCAGTGATTAAAGCTGATTCCAGCAGTTCCTTGTGGAGAGGGATGACTACCTAGTCTTGTCTGTTTTGGCATGAAACTTCCCTGGCTTTTCAAAGAACCTGTATCAACAACAGGGTGTTAGAGGCCCACGGGTCCCTTGTTCCACACAGCTTTGGCCAAGCCTGTCCTCAACTTGACTTCCTGGTCTTCTGCTGCCTGTTGCGTGGAAAACAGGGCTGACAGGAGGAGGCTGCTCTCTGCTCAGGAGTTTCAGGGTTGTTTTGGAGGTGCAAGATGCAATTAAACTCAACATATCTATCTATTATCTCTTTGGCAAGAGGAAGTTACCGTATCCTCTTCCTGGTGGGGAGGATTTGAAAGCCTCACTCTCACTGTCAGTACCTACCTGCCTTGCTGCACATAGTCCTCCCCTGTGCTCTCTCTTACTGGTGCCAAGTGCAATGTGCTTATATAAATGGTGAGAAATAGTTGAATAATACATCTGAATTCACACTACCTCCCAGCAGTGTGGAGAAGCCTATGCTACAGAGCTCAGCTTGCTTTATGAAGGCTCCCTAAACTGGAAGAGCTGATGAGTGAAGTCTTTAGGTTTTCAAGAGCGAAATTCAGCGCCTTCGGAAATGGTCAGGTGGCTCTTCAGGAGCAAACACCAGAATTAACCTGCATGGTTTGGACACATCAATACAGCTGAACCTGTGAACACAAGCTCTTTTTCAGTGTAGTTCAGTCTAGAAATGGATTTCTGCAAAATTTTGTAGCTTGTTTTCACTTTTATTTGATCTAAACTATTGCTGTACCCTGAGAGCTGTCTCTGACATCACACCATGTGTAGTAGGCTGCTCACTTGGTTCCCAAGGCCCCTATATAGGCACCTGCTGTATTTTAAAAGGTCCTAAAGCAACTGTACCTAGAAAGGAATCATAGACTCATAGAACAGAATCATTAAGGCTGGAAAAGACCTCTGAGATCATCAAGCCCAACCATCAACCCAGCACCATGTCCCTCAGCACCACATCTACTTGTCTTTTAAATATCTCCAGGGATGGGGACTCCACCACTGCCCTGGGCAACCCCTTCCAATGCCTGAAAAACCTTCTGGTGCAGAAATTCTTCCTCAGATCCAGTCTAAGCCTCCCCTGGCACAACTGGAGGCCATTTCCTCTTGTCCTGTCCCTTGGTTGAACAAACAGACCCCTACACCCTCCTTTCAGGGACTTGGACAGAGCCAGAAGGTCTCCCCTCAGCCTCCTTTTCTCCAGACTCAACAACCCCAGTTCCCTCAGCTGCTCCTCATCACACTTGGAAGGCACTTTACCATTGGAATATGGAATGATTTAAATTTTTAAAATCCTAAATAGCAAAGTTCTGCCTAAATTATCTCTGAAGTGCTGAGGGTCTAAGCGCCAGTCCTGCTTGTCTGTCAGCGCGAGGTTTTTGTGACACAACACCCGTTTCCGAGGTCGGAGGCAGAGGTGACTCGGTAGAGGCCGTTTCCAGCTGCGCTGCAGCCTGGCCCTGGTTTTGGTGGCACTGAGGCAGGTGGCTTAAGTCACCTTACGAGCCTGTGGTTGTCACTTGCTTCTGGAAATACCGAAGCCCAAAGTGAGGGAAGGTCTGAACAGCCGTGATGTCAAACCCAGTATTTAAGACTTCTGAGTTGTTGTGTTAACTCAGCGGTGGTGCTGTTTATAAACCATTATTGTTCTTGTTTGTTCTGAACACTGAAGGATTTAATAGCAGGGTAGGTCTGGTTGGAAGCTGCTCTTAGCACCAAGAGTGACAGAAGAAAAGTGACTTGATGTCTGGGGGCTGAGGGACCTGAATTCCCCTTGGAAGCAAGGGGAGGCTCTAAAGGGAATCTTTCAGATGAAGCCTTACCTACACCAGGAAGGAATTAACTTCTTTCCACTAATTTTAATGAAGACAACACAGTGGTGGTGTTCATGTGTTACCATTCTTAAGGGGATTATAACACGCTGCAAGCTCCACTAGTTTCCAGTGTATTAGTGCTTACTGCAAGTCATAGTTTAACTTCAGGATGGGTGAGCAAGTC